AAAAAAAAAAAAAGTATATCTCTCCAATGTTCTCAGTGTTGCAAAATGCCAGGGAGTTCCTGCAAAGCTGAAATAGCTAACCTTTGGATGCTTTACCTTTGGGCTCCATTAGTCACAATTGTTACTAAGCAGAGTTGGGATTTCTTTTTTTTTTTTTAAACCATATATGCCAGTATGAAAGAAATACTTCCAGAAAAAGTCTGGCTTTTGGATTCCGTTAGTAACAAAAGAGGGAGATTTTAGAGAATTTCCTTAACCTGAGATGATCATTCCAAATTTTAGGCTGCATCAGGATCATTTGAAGGGGCTTATTAAACCCCAGATTCAGTGGGGCTGGGGTCGGACATGAGAACTGCATTTCTAACAAGTTTCCAGGTGATGTTGCTGCTGCTGGGCTGACCACAGTTCAGGAGCCACTGATTTGGAAGAACTAATGTATTTTAGAACTTATTGTACCCAATATGGGGAAAAGGCTTAAACCAAGGTGCAAAATCAGCAATCCAAGGGTAGAATCACCTGACTTTGTTTTTTCTTGTGCTCTGAGCAATGACACAGCTTTTTATTTATCCTGAAGACTTCCATCTTCTGTAAAAGATGTTTGGCTATCTATTTGCTGGAGCAGAATAGGCTTCCTTAAGTGTTTTCTTTATGAATAGGAATGCCAAGGGGAATGTCTTTAGTTCATCAGTTCTCAAATGTGCATGAGAATCACTTGGAGTGTTTATTTAAAAAGCATATTTCTGGGCCCCACCCAAGAGACTTTGATTTATTAGACAATAATAACAGTAAGCATTTCTGATATACCTTTGCTATGTGTCAGGCACTATTATAAGCACTTTACATGTACGAATTCATTTAATCTTCACAAGATGCAAAAATTCTCAATAAAATCCTAGCCAATAGATTACAGCTTATCATTAAAAAAAGTCATACGTCATAATCAAATAGGTTTTATCCCAGAGATGCAAGGCTGGTTTAAAATATCCAAGTCCATTAACATAATCCACCATATCAACAAAAACAAAGACCATATGAGTCTCCCAATAGATGCAGAAAAAGCATTTGATAAAATTCAACATCCTTTTCTAATTAGAACTCTGAAGAATATATGCATCGGTGGCACATTCCTTAAACTGATCAAAGCCATCTATGACAAACCCACAGCTAATATTATACTGAATGAAGTCAAACTAAAAGCTTTTCCACTCAGAACTGGAACAAGACAAGGTTGTCCTCTATCACCACTATTCAACATAATGCTGGAAGTTCTAGTCAATACAATCGGGACAAGGTAATAAAGGGCATCCAAATGGGGGCAGAAGAAGTGAAACTCTCCCTCTTTGCCGACGGTATGATCTTATAGTTAGAAAACTTCAAAGACTCAACCACAAGTGATCAAAAAAGACAGTAATGTCTCAGGATATAAAATCAATGTCCACAAATCAGTATCCTTTGTATATGCCAATGATTGTCAGGACACAATTCCCTTCTCAGTAACTTCAAAGAAAATGAAATACCTAGGAATACACCTAACAAAAGAGGTAAAGGACCTCTATAAAGAAAACTGTGAAACACTAAGAAAAGAAATAGCATAAGATAATAACAAATGAAAGAACATACCATGCTCATGGCTGGGAAGAATCAACATTGTTAAAATGTCTATAGACTCTGACCCAAAGCAATCTACAGATTCAATATAATCCCCAATTAAAATACTAACATCATACTTTCAAGATTTGGAAAAAATAATTCTTTATTTTGTACAGAAACAGAAAAAATCCCATATAGCTAAGACAATTCTTAGTAATAAAAACAAGGTCACAGGCATTAGCGTACCAGACTTTAGGCTGTACTACAAGGTATAGCGATCCAAACAGCATGGTATTGGCACAAAATTAGAAACATAGACATGTGAAATCAAATAGAAATCCATGAGATGAAACTAACATCTTACAACCAGCTGATCTTCAACAAACCAAACAGGAACATACAGTGGGGGAAAAAATCCCTATTCAATTAATGGTGCTGGAAGAACTGGATAACCACATGTAAAAGACTGAAACTGGACCCACACCTTTCTCCACTCACCAAAATTCATTCAAAATGGATAAAAGATCGTGCTTGCTTCGGCCACACATACACTAAAATTGGAATGATACAGAGAAGATTAGCATGGCCTCTGAGCAAGAAGGACACACAAATTCATGAAGCATTCCATATTTTCAACAACAAAAACAAAAAAAAATGGATAAAAGATCTAAGTCTAAGGCATGAATCAATAAAAATCCTTGAAAAAAGTGTGGAGAAGACACTTGAAGATACCAGCCTGGGGAAAGATTTTATGAAGAAGACTTCTGTGGCAATTGCAACAGCAACAGAAATAAACAAATGGGACTTAATTAAACTGAATAGTTTCTGTGCAGCTAAGGAAAAAACAACCAAAGCAAATAGACAACCATCAGAATGGGAGAAGATATTTGCATATTATGAATTGGACAAAAGCTTGATAACTAGGATCTACAGAGAACTCAAAGTAAGCAACAAAAAAAAGCCAACAATCCCCTATATCAATGGACAAGTGAGATGAATAAGAACCTTCTTTAAGGAAGACAGACAAGGCTCAGCTCCATAGCTCAGTGGTTAGGGCACCAGCCACTTACACCAGGGCTGGCAGGTTCGAACCCTGCCCGAGCCTGCTAAACAACAATGACAACTATAACAAAAAAATAACCAGGCAGCATGGCAGGCACCTGTAGTCCCAGCTACTTGGGAGGCTGAGGCAAGAGAATAGCTTAAGCCCAAGAGTTTGAAGTTGCTGTGAGCTGTGACACCATGGTACTCTACTGAGGGCTACATAGTAAGACTGTCTCAAAAAGAAAAAAGAAGACAGATGAATGGCTAACAAACATGAAAAAATGCTCTTCTTCTCTATCAGAGAAATGCAAATCAAAACCACCTTAAGATATCATCTAACCCCAGTGAGAATGGCCCATATCACAAAGACTCAAAGCTGCACATGCTGGCATGGTTGTGGAGAGAAGGGAACACTTCTACACTGCTGGTGGGACTGCAAACTAATACAACCCTTTTGGAAGGAAGTATGGAGAATCCTCAAAGAACTCAAATTCGACCTCCCATTTGATCCTGCAGTTCCATTACTGGGCATCTACCCAGAAGACAAAAAATCATTTTATCATAAGGACATTTGCACTAGACTATTTATTGCAGCTCAGATTACAATCACCAAAATGTGGAACCAACATAAATGCCCACCAATCCAGGAATGTATTAACATACTGTGGTATATGTATACTATGGATTACTATACAGCCACTAAAAAGGATGATGACTTTACATCTTTTATATTAATTTGGATGAAGTTGAAATACGTTCTTCTTAGTAAAGCATCACAAGAATGGAGAAGCAAGAATCTAATGTACTCAATTCTGATATGACAACAATTGATGCTCTCACATGGTGGGGGTGGGGAAGGGCGGTGAGGAGAGAAAGGGAAGGAGGGGGGGTGTGGGGCCACAGTGTGTGACACACCTTTTGGGGGTAGACACTATTAATAGAGGGACTTCATCCAGCAAATGCAAGTGGTGTAACCTAGCTCATGGTACCCTCAATGATTCCTCAACAACAAAAAAAAAAAATCCTCACAAGAGCCCTATGAAGTACCTACTATTACTATTCCCATTTTACAGATGAGGAAACCAAAGCTCAGAGCTAGTCAGCTAGTTATCAACTAGTTAGTGGTGGAGCCTGTGTGTACACCCAGGTAGTAGGATCCAAAGCCTCCTATCCATGGCAACTCACACCTCTTGTCTGATGTAAGGCTCCATAATTTGAGTTCTCCAAAAGGAGACTTTAGAATAACCCTCTGAGGAACCCTGAAAAATACATCTTAAAGAAGCTGGGCTTTTACTCATAGACTCCTTTCCTTTCCCTTATTTGTTGAGAGAGGGATGTCTTGTTAGGCGCATATTCCCTGGCACTAACAAGTTCCTTTGAAAGCAGAGAAAGTCTTCAAGCAGAATAGTGAAGAGACTCGTGAAGAGGAACCATTTGTCTGCAGCCAAACTACGAAGTGGGTTATAGGGATTTAGGGCAGAGCATCAGTGGAATATGCATCTTAATATGCCATCCCAGGTGATTCAGGGAACACACTTTGATAAACATGATTTTAATTTGAGGATTCTAGTTGGGCTGCCCTGCTGTGGTGGCTCAGGTCATAACAACAGAGTTCCAAAGGACAGGAAATTAAATGGTTTCCCCCTTCTCTTTTCATTCTCAGCCCCCAAAACTGTTCCTCTAAAAAGTGAGCAAACTAAACCAGTAATTCCTTAAGTTCCTGCAGTTCAATCCTGCCTCCTGTCCTAGAGAGACGCATCATATAATCATTTGGAGAAAGCTGGGTCTAAATGATTACAAGAAGGCTCAAGTTCTCTAGATCAACATAGAGGAGGAGAAATTTGCTTCCGTATCTTTATTACGATTTACTCATTTCAACTCTGTTTAAAAATTTATCACTGATTCCCCTACTCCTTCCTAATAAAAATGAACAGAACCCAGAACCCAAATCATGGAAAGAACAGAGGATGAAGTTCAAGAGCCGTCTAAAAATAATACACTGTATTTAATACTCCTGTCTTCCGTGGCACTTGCTGGGTCCTGGTAAAACAGTACAACACCAAGAAGGTAGTGAAAAAGAACTAGAACCAGAGACGTCAGAGGCTGAAGGGGAGACCTAGGAAAGCTTCTAATTCAGAGACCAAAAACTCAGATACTTTTAGGGGCCAGACGTTTATAGTTCATGGCTAGTTATATAATTAACGAAAAGCAATTATGGAAATAAAGTGCATGCAATCGAGAGAGGTGAGGCCTGTGGCAAACTAGAAAATGCACACACTGTCTAATGAAGAATACTGGGCTGGCCACAAGCAAAGCAAAACAAAATTGAATTAAAAACTCTGAGGCTGTTCCTCGTCTCCAGATTACTCATTTGTTGAATACTCAATATAGTCTCCTTTTAGCTCAAAGAAGACAGATGTCTAGAGTCTCTGAGGAGCTTACATTTAGCTAGTACATGCTCATAAAGCCATACTTGTTCCCACATAAGCAGGGTCCAGTTATACCTATTCTTAAATATCTGGCTGTCACCTCCAAGCTCACACAATTAGCAGATCAAAGAAATGAAAAATATAGCTTCTCTCTTTTCTGTCTCCTGCCCTTGAAAGTTACATTTTACATTCATCATATGGAAAAGCAAATGCATGTCATGTTTTAAAAACAGTAAGTGCATAGATGAATGTATTTATCTGTGTGAAACAGATAACTTTCTGATGAAAGGGGCCTTAGTTTGTACCAAAAATTCATCAGGAAGGCAAAGCTGTTGCAGGATCCCATTGATGGTCTAAATATTTAGGTTCTTTCTTTTGTTGACACATTCTCCATAGAATACTTGTACATGGCTCGGCGCCTATAGCTCAACCAGCTAAGGCGTCAGCCACGTACACCTAAGGTGGCGGGTTCGAATCCCCAGCCCGGACCCGCCAAACTACAATGACGGCTGCAACCAAAAAATAGCCGGGCGTTGTGGCGGGCGCCTGTGGTCCCAGCTACTTGGGAGGCGGAGGCAAGAGACTCGCTTGAGCC